CTTGAATGTGTTGGTTGAATGTAAGTTTACGTCCAATCGTGACGCCTAAGTATTTGGCCTGTTTTGACCAGTTAACGGGTTGGTTATCGATGGTTAGAGGTGGAATGTGGGTTGTATTAGAACGCCCGAAGAGGACGCCTACTGTTTTGGTCGGGTTTATTTTGATTCGCCACCTGTGGAACGAGTTGGACGCGAGGTTGAGTTGGTGTTGTAGTTGTATGGTTGCACGTTTGGGGTTTTTATTACTAGTAAAGAACATCGTGTCGTCAGCGAAGAGTGAGAGGTTGGCTTTAGGAGTCGTTGGAATGTCGTTAATGTACGTCAAGTATAGCGTCGGTGAGAGACAGGAGCCCTGAGGGACTCCTGCGAGTACGTGTCTGGTAGTAGAGAAGGAGTGTTCAATTTTAGTGGTAAAAGTACGGTCGGTGAGAAAGGATTGGATGATTTTTACGATTTCTAACGAGATGTTGAGTTTGGAGAGTTTGTAGAGTAGGCCTTCGTGCCAGACGCGGTCGAATGCTTTCTCCACGTCGAGGAAGACGGAAGCAGTGTTTAAGTCGTTGTTAAAGTTTTCGCTCAGTTGGTGGGTGAGTTTGGTCAGTTGTAGTGTGGTCGAGTGTTCGGGTCTGAAGGCGAACTGTTCGGGACGGATTTTGTTTTTGAGTTTGTCTTGTAGGTGGGTGAGGATGAGTCGTTCGTAAATTTTGGACAGGGAGGAGAGGAGGGCGATTGGTCTATAGTTTTCGGGTTGTTTATGGTCTTTGCCTGGTTTGGGAATGGAGATGATGACTGCTTTTTTCCAGGCAAGGGGAAAGTAGCAGATTCTGAAGGCGCTGTTGATGATCCGAGTAAGGGACAGTATAACGTTGTTCGGTAGGAATTTAAGAGCCGTGTTGGTGATGAGGTCGTCACCAGGGGCTTTCTTTTTGCGAAGGTTGCGAATTATGTCTTGTATCTGGCCGGGAGTGGTAAAGAGGTTAGATCGGGTGATGTCAAGGCCTTGTAGGTACTGGGAGTGAGCGGTTACGTCTGGTAAGTCGGGGCCGGGGTTTGTTTGAAATTGACGTTCGAGCGAGTCGGCTATCAGCTCTGCTCGTTCGTTGGCCGGAAAAACTAGGCCGTCGGGGCCGGTTAGTGGGTGAGATGCTGGACGTTTGTGTAAGAGACATTTGTTGAGTTTGTATATTGAACCGTCTTGGTGGTCTAGTGAGTTAAGAAAGATGTCCCATTGGTCAGTATTGTGCGTTGCGAGTAAGGTACGTATGAGAGATATTTTGGCGTTTAGTTGTCGTTTAATTGTCGGGTTGCAGTTTATTTGCCATTCGCGGCGTATACGGTTTTTGTCTTGTATTTCCAGTTTAATGTAGTCTGGTACTACAGTGGACGGGTGTTTGCGTGTCGGTACGTATACGCTGGATTCAACCGCTTGTTGGATATGTTTTGTGAGGTTTTCGATTGCCAGGTCGATAGACTCACGGTCGTTGGTCGGTTGAGTGGTTGAGTTCGGTAAGTTCGCGAGAGTTGTCGTGTATTTTTTCCAGTTAATAAACCGATTCGTAACCGGCGGAGAAGAAGAGATCGGAGTGCAGAGTGTATCTAGAAGAATGGGGTTGTGGTCGGAAGATAGTTCGTTGAGGTTAATGATTTGGGTTTGATAGGGTAGTCGTACGAGGGCGATGTCGAGTATGTCAGGTCTGTATCGTGTGCATGTCGGGAAATGTGTGGGAGAAGAGGGAGCAGTTACAGAGTAGTCCGATTGTTGTGCGTGGTCAAAGAGGACACGGCCGGCAGCGTTAGTCGTGTGGCTATACCACAGCGGATGTTTGGCGTTGAAGTCGCCTGCCGAAATTTGCCATTCGGCACTCTTTGTCAAAAGGTCGAGGTCGTTTGTCGTTAGTAGGGTTCCGGGTGGTTTGTATACGGCTGAAATAAGTACTTCGTGGCCGTTTAGTTGTACGAGGATGGAAGAGGTTTGGATGGTTGTGTTTAGGGTAACTGGTTGGTGGACGATACGTCGGTTGACGAGAACGGCCGTGCCTCCGTGGGCGGGCGAGCCCCGCACGGGCGGCAGGTCGTTCCTGTACGTAAAAAAGTTAGGAATGTGAAGTCTGGCAGAGGGTTTTAGGTGGGTTTCGTTAAGTAGGATTATGTCGGTTTTCAGTTTTAGTGCTAAAGTAGCGCAGTTCGTCAAGTTTGTGGTTAATGCCGTTTGAGTTCCAAAATAGAATTTTTAAGTTATTCATTTTGGGGGGATAGTATGGTTAAGAATGATTGTATTGCTGTTTGTATCAGGATTTTGGGGTCCTGGTTGTTTACTATGGCTGTTAAGAGGTTGGTCAGGAGGTTTAAAATGAGGGACAGGTTAATTTGTGGGGCTTCGGGACTGGTCGGTTTTGGTGGTGGTGGGGGGGCTTGGCCGGTGGTGGCTGCAGCGTAGGAGCGGGTTTGGAGTTTTATTGTAGTTGTTGGTGGGGGCGGGGGTGGTGTAAAAGATTGAGTTGTCGGCGGCAGGGTTTGAGGTTTGGTTGTTGGTGGTGCGATTTTGGGTTTTATCGTCAAGAGATGTGGGCATCCGCGGAAATTAGCCGTATGAGGCCCGCCGCAATTGCAGCATGTCGGGGTTTGCTCGGGAGTTTTTTGGCATTCAGATGCCAAGTGATTTCCTGCGCACTTGACGCATCTGGGTGGGTGGCCACAGTTACGGGAACCGTGTCCAAAACGTTGGCACGAAAAACATTGTGCCGGGCCGGAAGGTTTAAGTGTTTCTACCGAAATTGTAAGATAAAATAGGGAGTTGAGAAGGAAGATATCCTTGGCGTTTGGGGTTGCCGCAATGTGTACGAGGCACATGGGCATCGGTTTTTCGGGAGTACCGAAACGGCGAATGTATTTTGTTTGGAAGTTTAGGGTTTCTAGTTCGGATTTTAGATCGTCAGTGGTGATGTCGGTCGGTATGCCCTTTAAAACGACCTTAAGGGAACGATCTTCAGGGAGGCTGAAGGTATGGAATTCAGTTTTGCTGTCAACTAGGACTTTCTGAATTTGTCGGAAGTGGGTGGGGTCGGTAGTTTGGACAGTTATTTGTCCATTGGATGAGGTTTTGGCTGTAATTGCCGATGGAGTGAAGTTCGAGAGTTTGTAGATGGTTGGTGCGATTTTTCACCAGGACGCAGAGTTTAAGATTAAGGGGGGTGGCCTGATTTGCTTGGGTTTGGCTGATGTCGGGATTTGTTGTTCGGTTTGTTTTGGTGCGGAGGTTGTTTGGTTAAGTACGGATGTGGTTTTGTTTAGCGCGGGGCTATTTGTTTGGTTTGTATTAGGTACGGAAGTTGGAGTGGTAATGGTTTTCGCAGTGAGTGAAGTTGATTTAGTAGATGTCGCAGAGGACAGTGAGTGGTCTGTATAAAGGCTGCAGTCAGAGAGGGAATCGAGTGTTTCAGAGTCGGAAGTGTTAGGTTGTGGCGGGGGGGAAGCTGTACGTTGCCGTGCCACTTTCGGAGGTGAGTAGTAAGAGGGGTTTCCGGTTTTTCGTTTGGGTCTGCCCATAGTCAAGGTTGTGGTCAACCTTTTTTTTTGGGGGGGGGCGGGGATGCTTTGGCTATGTGAGGGCGCGGCCCCACGACAGCTGGTTGCGGAGGGACACGTCGCTTTCGCGGCGAAGTGGTGAAGTGTCCCGGTATATATACTTTCGGTGAAGTGTCCCGGTATATATACTTTCGGTGAAGTGTCCCGGTATATATACGTTATATTTGTGTTTTGTCGTTTTGTGATTGGTCGAGGTTGGTTGTTGTGTCAAGCAATAGTCCCACCTCGACCCGTTGTTTTTTCCTCTGATGATGTGGTTTTCGCTCGGTCTTTTTGTGAAACGTATTTGCCGAGATTGCGTTCCTCCTTGCGTGCCGGGTTGCTTGTTCGCGTCCCACTATGTTGTCGTACTGTTGTTTATTGGTGGTCCTGAAAAGGACCATTTTGGTGTTGTGGCGGTTTGTTCCGTTACATACAATAGTATGCAGTCTACCGAGAGTGGACCATTTATTGCAAATTTAAGTACTTATCACTCAGACAATAATTTATCTAAACATATTTTTAATTTATGGACCTAATATTGTGTTAAAACATTTTCAAAAATATAGTTATTTCATTGACATTGAACGGCATTCGTGCAATATGAAATATACTGCACAACAAACATCTACCATAACCTAACCTATATTATACACCAATACCTAGGTATATTTTTCAATTTGGTATTTTTAAGCAAGGGCCAAATTAAAATGCTGCAATAGCTAGCAAGTGCACCCGCAGGATAAAATCCCACCCGTGGCAAGATAAAAATTATTTATAATCTAATATTAGTTATAGCGATATTGATATTAAAGCAGTGGCGCAACTAGACCTTATGGTGCCCTAGTAACAAAAATTACTTGGCGCCCTAGAATATATTATTTTCTTTATATATTTATATTTTAAAGTATAGATAAAAAATATATAACATGGGTATATATAACATGGGTAGGTAGGTTCTTTAATTCATAAAAAAAAATTAATACATGTACATGTTAACAAAACTTAACTTTTCTAACTTTTAAGTTTGCAAAATGTTCTATTATTTTGTTTATATTTAACTGTTTACTCTTATTTTTTTCAATGTTCAGAATGGCAATGTTGGATAGTCTATCTTGATTCATTGAATTTCTTAAGTAATTTTTAATAAGTTTCTGTTTAGAAAACGATCTTTCCGCTGATGCAACTGTTACAGGTAATGTAAGATAAATTAAGGTTGCACTTAAAATATCACTATATGTTGTACTATAGTCATTTTTTTAAATATATAATGTCAATTGTTCGATACTTTTAACTTCAAAAATATTTATTAATTCTCTTATTAACAGTAACTGCCACATTAAATCTGAGCTTATATCATCTTTGTACAATTTTGTAAAATCATACGAAGCTTTTATTAAGTCATCTTCATATATTATATTAACTAATGTACTTCGCTATAAAAAATAAAAGTTTTCAGTTATTTCCTTTAATCCGTTAAATCTGTTAGAAAGCTGAAAAATAACTGTATCAATCATTGGTAAGAAAACTCGAACTTTAAAATTATCTTCTGTAACATTCAATCTTCTATCACCATCAACTTCTTCAAAATGTTTAATAGCGAATTTAGAACGAACTTCATGGTAATCTTTTGAAATTCCCCATTTATCACACATGTTATGACTTGTTAATATTAAATCATCATACTGATTTCTTAAATTTTGAATAGTAAAATTAGCCTCTTGTAAGTTTTGACAAGCATTATGTAAATTAGTATTTTTACGTTGAAGAGACTGTGATACTCCATATAATGGTCTTAATATTGTTTCCCATAAGCATAACGACAAAAAAAAATTCAATTTTTTTCTAATTTTTTTTTTTAGAGCATTTGCAATATTTCTTTCTTCTTTTTTCTGACTAGTTAAGGAAATATTGCTTAAGGATTTCAAAGCATCGTAGCGGCTAACCGTAACGGGCGCATCCTGCGTGACATACAATCAGTCGACCACCCTTGCCAATTGGAACCTTTAATCCTTCCGTACCTTCATTGTTCTGCCAAATAATGGATCGTGAGTGATTTTGATTAACCCAAGTCTCATCAACATAATCAACAGGGCGACTATCGTTATTTTTACGCAGTGTGCACATTTTTCTGAGGAATATGCACCGTAGAGCAACTATGTCTAAACGTTATTGTAAAATAAAATTATTACTCTATTCAATGTTATTTAATTTTTAAAAATAAATTTCAAACAACTATTAAATTATTTAAATTATTTTATTTAAATACTATTTAATTAAAAGTGTTAAAGATTTTTTTAAGTTACAATGTATTATTATTATTTTTATTACTTATTTAAATTTTAAACAATTTAAAAAATATTTTAAATTAAAACTTCAGTTTATTTAATTATTATTTAATTATTTTAATTTTAAATCTAAGGTTGAACAATTTTATTTTATTTTAAAAATTTCTAAAGTTCCTCACAATTTATCATAAAAATTCAAAGTTCCCAATAATTCTCTTATTTAATTTAACACGAAAACATTTTTCACTTATATAATATATACTATGGTCATATGATATACCATAGGAGACGAACAACGATTTAATTACTCTAAATACTCACAACAACACGGCGGGTACTGCGGGTGCTTCCATTTGACTGATGTTGATTGTAGTAGTTGTAGTATGAAGTTGTACAGGATTCTTCCTCGGAGTTGTTGGCAGGTGATCAGTCTTCCAACGGTGGTCCAGTGATGGATTTCCCTCCTTGATCGAATTTAGAAGATGAAAATTTTGAAAAAATTTTGAAAGTGTTCTTCAGGTTTCTTCTAAGTATCTTTTTGAGACTCCCTGTCCACAGCGCCAATTTGTAACGTGCCGAATTGCGTTACTTGTAGAAATGGAAGCAGTAATTGAACAAAACCTCTTTTGATAGTATTGATTGTATTTATTATGTAAACAGTCTTTATAGAAAATATTCTAAGTCCAAATAATTATATTTATTGATTTAAGCGAGTTGTGACTATGAGTAATTAGTGACTGTAAAGTTGAGGCTGGTTGCTCGTCTGATGAACGCTTGTCCATCAGCTCTCCTCAATGGGTCTCTCCAGTCCCTTCCACAGATTCACATGACCATACATGGTCATCCTGCGGTTAGGCCTATTGTGGGATTTGTCACCCGGTCGTCGCTGCACGCGCCGGATGTCATCAGATAACATCTTGTCATTTAGTATAACAGCACAAATCCTAGTTCACAGTATTTTAGAATTATTTATATACGTAGTCATATATCTATTGCCGCGCGCCGTTCATGGTCATGCGTTCAATATTATTATCTTCGCGCTGTATATATGCTGTCGTCGCTCCACCACACACGTACTGTATTCATGGTGCCAGCGACGTTATTATTATTACTATTATTGACTTTTACGCGAGCAACGCTCGCGTATTACTATTATATTATATTTACGCGGCGCGTCTATTATATGCAGTGCCGGATCTAGGGGGGGGGGCAAGTGGGTACTCTTGCCCCGGACGCTGTTGGTATCAGGGCGCTCTTAAGATTATGAAAAATAAAAAAATAAGCTAAAAATATCTCATAAAATATGTATAAATTATAATACTATATATTTAAACAGAATAAATAATATTAGATATTCGAATACGTTTATCTTTTGTTTATATTTTGGTCCGGCACTCCGGCGCGTTGTTGACATATATTATATTTATAGTTACCTAGTCATTATCAGTCAGTTTCGGAGAAAACCCAAACTGGCGATCGACGATAAATGCATAGGTTTTATAATAGGTATTTACAATGTTCGAATAGTCGACAGTAAAGTTGTTGTCAGATTCATTTCAACTCTACAGTTTTTTTTATTTTAACATTTCTTAACCAACAAAAAGATAATGAATTCAAAAAAAAGCTTAGTGGGGCTGAAAATAGAAAAAGAAAACTGGAACTTGAAAAAAATGTACAAAAACTACCTAAGATCGTCAATTTCTTTTCAAAAACAGAAACCAACGGTAGGTAAGCAAATTTTACAGCTGTCAAAATAAATTATATATTTATAGCTAAATACTTAAATGTAATGAGTTTAATCAAGGTTATTTAAAACATGTTTTAAACATCTAAATAAAATAAAAATAAACATAACGTGTTTCTACAGAGATTGTACATAATAAATTAATTGAAACAAAAACGGTATCAACTAATGATGTGGACCATGATTCAGATATGGATAAGAATATTACAGAAACAGAAACCAACGGTAAGCAATTTTTACAGCTGTCAATATAATGTATACATTTATAGTTAAATACTTAAATGTAATGAGTTTAATCAAGGTTATTTAAAACATATTTTAAACATCTAAATAAAATTAAAATAAACATAACGTTGTTTCTACAGAGATTGTAGGTACATAATAAATTAATTGAAACAAAAACGGTCTCAACTAATGATGTGGACCATGATTCAGATATGGATAAGAATATTACTGAAACAGAAACCAACGGTAAGCAATTTTTAAGCCTGTTAAAATAAATTATATATTTACCTATAGTTAAATATAATGAATTTAATCAAGGTTGAGATATTTAAAATAACTTGATAAAATTGAATTTTTATTTTATTGCAACAATAAATAAATAAATTTGTATTGTTTAGTATAGAATATTAAATAATTATTTGTTTTATTTTTAAATTTCTTATAAATCATTCACGTTTTAGATTTAAGTAGGTATTTTTGATTTTACTAGTTTTAGTTATAAAATGTATTGTTAAGTTATAACAGCTAATATAAGCTTAAATCGTATAAACTAATCAAAGGCCATCACAAAAATACCTTTTTTAATTTACCTTTAATTTATAGAAGTGGTTCCTTCAAATTCCTTCAAATTATTTGAAACAAAAACGGTATCGACTAGTGATGAGGACTATTATTCAGCTATAGACAGGAACAGAACTAATTGCGATAAAGTAGACACCATTAACATACATTTTACTGATCTTGGTACATGGCCTTTAAATATTACAGATACACAAAGAACATATTTAGTGAAAATGAGGTACAATTATTCCGAAATTCATGATTTTAGTAATTCGGAAAGAGACGGTAGAAATGTTAAGTCTGACTGGTTTTATAAGATACTTATGATTGGAAAAAAATTAAAAAGAACATGGCTCAGCTATTCTTCATATAAAAATGCACTTTTTTGTGTACCTTGTAAATTGTTTACTAAAATAGAAAACTCATCCAACGTATCAAAATTAGCATACACTGGCTTAACAAATTGGAAAAAAGTTACCGAAAAAATTCCATTACATGAAAATTCACCTATACATAAAAAAATGTGTGTTCTTGGACTTCATTGGAAATGGCATTGAATCACTGCGAGGGTATAGATACAGAATTGCAAAATTCTATAAGAAAAGAAGAAGGTCACTGGAAATCCGTTTTATTGGCAATTATAGACATTATAATGCATCTAGCAATGGACGGAAGTGCATTTCGAGGATCTAATGAAATTATTTCTAGTGTGGGAACATCAAACCTAAGTGGAAAGTTTTTAAATTTAGTTAATCTAGTGTCACATTATCATGAACCATTATCAAAACATATTGAAAGACACAAAAAAGGTGGTCTTTCTTATTTTTCTCATGGTATTCAAGACGAGTTTCTAGAGATTATGGCAAAAAGAATTAAAGATGAAATTCTTTCAAAAATAATAGAGGCGAAATATTATTCTATACTATTCGATTGTACACCGGACATTGCACACCAAGAACAAATGACCCAAGTTATTCGCTATGTTATACAAAACAAACAGAATGAATGCGAAATCATAGAAAGTTTATCAAAGTTTGTGCGTGTGTACAACAAAACTGGTGAATCATTAAAAGAAGATATATTAGATTGTTTGACAAAAGATAATCTTAGAATATCTGACTGTAGAGGACAATCGTTTGATAACGGGTCAAATATGAGTGGAAAAATTAAAGGAGTCCAAGCACGAATTATTGAAATGAATAAACTTGCAAGATTCATCCCATGCTCAGCTCACTCCTTAAATTTAATTAATGTTAATTGTGCAAAAAGTATACCTAAAGTAGAAACATTTTTCGGCATCGTACAGAAATTATTTAATTTCTTTTCAAGTTCAACGCAAAGATGGATATTCTAATGAATAATTTAAAGTTGTCATTAAAAGGGTAGTACTATACCCAATAACAAGGTGGTCAGCTAAACATCGTGCAATAAAATCATTAAATACTACAACAAGAAAAATTATCAGAAGAAACAAAATTTGATGCAGATAATTTGATGAGATCACTTAAAAGTTTTTCTTTTATTTGTATGCTTACGGTTTGGGAAAAAATTCTCAGTGCAATTGACAGGATTAATATAATTTTACAAAAATCAAAATTAACAATTGATGTAGCTGTCAAACATCTGCAAAGTCTCCTTAAAATATTAGAAAACTTTCGAGAGCAAGGTATAAATGAGGCTTTATTGGATTCAAAGAATAAAGCTGAAGTATTAGGCATAGAAACGGAATTTCCAAAAGTCAGATTACGAAAAAAGAAACTTTTACCCGGAGAAATTGCAGATGAGTTTTGTAACATAAGTGAAGAAAATAAATTTTTAATAATGATTAAAAATGTTATTGACAATATCTTAATAGGACTACGTCAAAGATTTAAATCAATGGAAAATATTGCTCAAGATTTTTCATTTTTAGATCCAACAATAATTTATTCTTGTCCTATGGAAAACTTGAAAAGAGCGGGAGTCGATTTATGCAATAAATATGAAAACGACCTCAACAAAATTGAATTCATTTCAGAACTAGAGAGCTTTAAAGAGCATGTTTACAACATAGATGACGATTTAAAAAGAGCAACATTTTTTTGAAATGTTGAATTTTATTTATAAAAATAAACTTCAAGATGCATATCCAATATATCGTGCTACCAAATATATCTTACAATGCGTGTGAACGAAGCTTTAGCAAATTGAAATTAATAAAAACATATTTAAGATCTACTACGGAGCAAGCAAGACTTAATAACTTATCTATTTTATCCATTTAAAATAAAATTGCAAGACAAATCAATTATGAAGACATAATTAATGATTTCGCTGCAAAAAAAGCTAGAAAAGTTAATTTTTAAATTTTCAGATTATAATTTATTTACTTAATTAAAATAATCAATAGATTTTTTATTTAGGTTTTTGTTTTTATATTTTTTAATGTTTTTTAACTATAATATTGACTATGATCTATAATATTTTAATATATGTTAAGACAACGGTTTAAATAAAAAATATTTGTTATATAAAAATATACTTTTGATTTGTACCTGTTTAAAAATGTTTTTAATTGTGTTGACAACCCTCGAACCCTGACCTCTGTAGCTAATACTATGTAAGGGCGCTACATTTTTATTAGCCCCGGGCGTTAAATGTCTTAGATCCGGCACTGATTATATGATTACGTACATAATATTAGAATGAGATTTATATTGTTAAATAGTTATTTAAGAAATAGTCACAGCTCGCTACAGTTTATTTATTTATTTATTTATTAGATATTTTATTTGTATTATTGATATAATTATTTAGGTAGATTTTATTAACAATATAATTATTTACGTACGATTTAAATTATTTTATGCTAGTGTGCCAATTAAATCTTAATTCTGTTTATTTTAAATCTGATTATTTAAATTTAATTACTTGATTATGACTGTTGATTAATGAGTCAAAAAGAAACCAATACTAGTTTAACAGAAAGCGAAACTGAAAGCATACAAGTAGTAGATCAGGAAATTAGAGAAGCAGGCGCGGATCCAACCCGAGATTATAGGGGTGGGCGAATATTTTACATACGAAATAAAATATCTAATAAAATATAATATGTGGGCAAGCACACATATTTGTGTTCAAAAATAACTTACACGAAACAGTTATGTTAAATACAACTTTTTAATCAATTGATAAATTCCAAATAGTGAACTAAAAACCAAAACATCAGTCATGAGTATAAAAATTAAAAAGATAAAAAACGTACATAGTCATTAAATTTAAATTACAAAATCTAGTCTTCTATTAGATTTTGCAAATACATCAATCACATCCTCAGAGTTTATTGTTATATCACGATGAGCATGTAGTAAAGCCAGTCCATTCAATCGATCTTCCGAAATTCTTGTTCTCATCCATGTTTTTATCCGCCTCAGAGATGAAAAATTGCGTTCTGCTGATCGGTCGCTGGTAATGCCACAAGTATATTTAATAGAATATTGATTTCAGGAAAACAATCGTAGTCACAACGTTTTAAAGCATCAATATGAGTCACAGGTAGTTGCTTTTCGTTGAGCCAATATTCGTGCCAAAGGGTTAATTCTTCACTTATGCGTTTTTCAAATATATTATGAGATACATTTAAATAATTTGATACTACATCACCAATTGCTCAGATAACCGAGTAAATTATAAGGCAA